TATATATATATTGTGTTTTCTTGCCCAGACCTAATTCTAACCTCAGAGATGAAACTGCAGTTCACAGATGCACGTTGTGCCCCCACAGAAACATTACTGCTTCACTAGTCKAAGACCTCCCACTACAGATGAAATAAAATAGTCTAAAGTTAATCAAAGCCTCCTAACACCTCACACACACTCGTCTTTATGCCATCCACATCTTTGTATCTGAAGGGACCAGCTGCACTTCATTTCCATGGCTAAGTAACACCATCTCCTTTTTCTCCTCCCTACAATATGGGTTTATTAAAAGCACAACTGCTCATCTCATTGCTGCGTGATTCTTCACAAAGTATTATTCACACAAGGAATCCACTAAAGCAAACTGATGGCACCTTGAAAAATAAACAGGAGTTAATGGTACAAATAAAATTTAAAACACAGTATATAATTAAATTTAGCAAAGATGGACTTAGAGTTTATTGATTTCATAACTTACATTTTTCTTGTTTTTTGGATAAAACATGCAATCACAGTGCAAGCGTAACCAAATGATATTAATGTCATAACTGTAAGTGTTCTGCAGTACAGTAATGATGCATCCTCTGGTGAGTATTAGCTTAGCCTCTGAGCCATACTGACACAGATATGACAGCTCGGATTAAGAGGATACAGCCTCCGGTATCACAACATTTTGATGTTAGTTTTATTCTGGCTGGAGTCTCACAGCTTGAGCAGCGTTGTTCTTCTTTATCTTCCTTACTGCAGAGCCACAACGGCTTGTGTAATGTAAATCAATAAACTTGAATAAATTAAACAGCAGAATCATTACCCTGTTTATTATGGAGAAGATTGAATTAACAACTGGATTTTTCCCAAAGGAAAATGGATGTTTTGGTCCAAATTGGCTTCTTTTGCTGTTTAGGCAAAATCTAATTTAAAGGTACTTTCGTATATAAATGTATATAAACATTTAGCCTGATAATCAACACATAACCTTCAACAAACTGTTAATATAAGAGGCTGGTAACAATGTAGGCCATTTTATTCTTAATATGACTTTTGGGGGCCACAGTAGGTTGGTGGTCAGTGCCAAGTAGGAGGTTCAGATTGATGGAGCGTTGGTTTGTCTGAGTCTGGAGTAGGAGGTAGTCAGGAGTAGACTGAAGTGAGTGATGACACAAACAAAACCTGCACTCTAACCAAAGCCAGTGTCGATTGTGCAACGTGGACCTCAGATGTGTAATCACACACTGCCTGGCTGGACTGGTCCATATGTGAATGACTAAAAGTCTCCTAAATAAGGGCTTGTCTTGGTTGTCATAGTGTGAAAAGGTCAGTTGAGAGCTAATGACTGGTTTAGCTCATTATTTTTTTGAAATACCATGAACTTTAAGTTTCCACTTGATTCAAACAGGTTAATGTTTCAGACAGTGTGAATCAAAGATGTGGGCTGCTTTTAGAGAACATACAGTCTTTGACTCGAAAAATTTATTTTGTTGTCATTTTTATGATTCAGAATTGGGATGATTTGATATCCTTCTAGAAGGCGACCCATGACCTATCATGGTCAAATGTTTTTCTATTGCAAGTGACCAATGTCGGCACAAATTCTACATTCTTTGTTTTTGCTGTTTTACGGCACCTGGCGTTCCCAGGTGGTCTCCCATCCAAGTACTAACCAGGTCTGACCCTGCTTAGCTCTCAAGATCAGATGAGGTCTGGCATGTTCAGGGTGGTATGACTGAACGATAGCTATTAAACCACACTTTTACTGTTAAAATGCCTTTGAAGCACAGGGTGAGTACCCCACCTAGCTGTTTGCGGTTCTGAAAATAGACCTCAGAGCCAGGCACTTTTTAATGTAGGGTCTAAACTCCCTACTTTTTCTAACACATTGCTGTTGATTTCTGAAGTCAGCTGGAGCCCTGAGGTAGAAGAGGACGGGGTGCTGGGAAACACTGAAAGGTGAATCAGCCTCCACCTTTGTTTCCGAGTGGCCCTGCTGGCTTTGTTTTGGAGCAGAATGAATTATTAACAGTAGCCTTCTGGTCATGTTTTTCRTCAGCGTGTCCACCAGCGAAGGTAAAGAGCGCTGTGCTGACAGAGCTCCATTGACTGGCTCCATTCAGGAAGACGGTAGAATTGTTTACCTGAGCTGTTTTTAGTCTTCACTTTGTCTCTTAATATTTTTAGTTGTCCTTTTTTTTCTCCACTGGTTTTATTTATTATATAGTTTCCCCCGATTTCTCCAAATAAAGGAGTATTGTCAAAGCTGGCCTAATAAACAGTAAACAGCCAGTTAACCAGATTTAAGGCAGTACTTATAATTCTATATAAACACCAGTTTTGACACTCTGCCTCAATTGTTTGCAGGACTTTTAAAATCTCTAACATAAACATGCTGTCTTACTATAGCTCGGATAGAGCAACGTGTTAGAAATCTAAAACTCAAAATTCAGGGCTCCAGGTTGCATTTTCATATTTGTGCTGCAGGAAAATGTGAGTAAATGTGATGCAAAATTTAGGAATAAAGCTTAGTTTGACTTCACTGCAACATTTTTTTAAGCTTTGCATGATGTGTTTGATAAAATAACTTTTTTTTCCTTTTAGCTTTTCATTTTTAAAGAAAATGTCATAGAACAAAATAACAATCACTGGCCCTGCAAAAGGCAGCAGCTGGAAGACAAACATTGCCATTTTCAAACTGTAGAAATCTATAAAATTTTCATTTTAGTGCAGCTCTGCCACAAAATCATCTTTTTATTTGTGCTGCTTTTTTTAAACTCCCTTTCACTCCCTCCAGGTGCAGTGTTGTTTCCAAAGTAACCATTTTAAATCCAACATTTTCCATCAGTCAGTCCTCACTTGTTCCAATCTGCTCCAATAGTTTAAAATGAAAACTGTTGTAGAAAAGTTGTTATAATCRCCACTTTCACATCGGTCCTCTGCTCAGCTGTCGCTTGATCCTTTTTATCGTCTACTGTCCAGAGGATGCTCCCGACCGGCCGAAATGCCTGGCAACTGTAACCACGGGGCACACATAACTGTACTGAGCTGTTGTTTGAATAATGAATAAATTAAGGAATCAGAAGAACCTGGTGTCTGGCTGGACTGTAGGGGGGTGCGTTTTGCGAGGTGGAATGATTAATCAGATGTTATTTATGATTAAAAAAGATATTTTCTTTTTAATGGTAAAATTTAACTAAAATTAATGTTTATTGCTTTTAATGAAAACAACTTTGATGCTTTTTTTGATTTTCCGCCCAAATGTTTCATGATAATGTTGTTAAATCTAGATTTAGTTTTTATTTTATTTCGTGTAAATTAGAAAAGTAGATGGGGATTGGAAACTGTGAGGATGAAGTGAGACTTAAACAAAAGGGGGAGGTGGATGAGGCTTTAATTAATAGAAATTAGACTGAGAGAGATAAGTGATATGTAAATAGGAAATGTATCCAAAATTACCTGTGGTGTAAAAAAAAAAAAAAGAAAAGAAAGAAAGCTGATCTGAGAGACAGGATAATGTCTGAGGAAGCCTCAGGTGCAGCCAAGAGGGGAGGAGGCAGGAGATCAGCGAGGCAGAGGGAGGGGTGTGTGTGTGTGTGTGTGTGTGTGTGTGAGAGAGAGAGAGAAAAGAGAGCGAGAGAGCGAGACTTGAGTGAGCAGGCTAGAGAGATGGTGTTGGGAGGGAGAAAAGTGTAAGCCAGTCGCAGCATCTCTCTTCACTGCACCAGGGCTGAGGGACTCCTCGTCCCCTCTCTTCCCTCGCTGCAGATTTAACTCATTTCTATCAGCGCAATCATCTTTTTTKAATTCATTTATTTTTTTGGGGGKTTGTTGCTTTGGATAGATGCATTCCATTCAGTTCCTTTCTAATGATGAGATCCAAGGATTTATTTATTGAAAACATCAGTCGCTCTTTCCAAGGTAAAAGGGACCATTCGGAAAAGGACACTGCTAAAAACTGGGACTCCAACTGGGAATTTTTGTTTTTTAATCTTTTTTTTTTTCATCTTTTTTTTTTGCGCTGCTAGAGTGGATTCCTCTTTTTGTTGTGCCGCCAGTGTTTTGTTCACAACAAATAACCAACTGACAGAGGACTAAAAGATGAGGTGATAAGACCCCCACACTTTTACAACTTCAGTGACAATTCTTGGTTTCCTGAAGCACTCGAGGAGAAGACGTCAGGTTGCACCAACCACTGCCGGTGCTTCAGTATCAGAGCAAAAATGCCGGGTGCAAGTGTATGGGATAAATGATTTCTGTGTGCCACAGGATTGCTGAGGAGTTAAAGTGAGGGGAGCACTGAAATAGTCAGCCGGCCTCTGCTCCTGCTCCTTGCTCCTGGAGAGTCCTTCCATCTGCCTGCCTGGGAGTAAATGGTAATCTGACAGTCAGCACCTTAATCGGCTGCAGGACATTAACTTTCTTTTTTTTTATCTGCAGCTTGCAGTCCACAACACCATTTGTAATTTTGGATCTCATCTGTAGATTACTTTATTGATGGAACATAAACATTTTGGTGGGCTTATTTTATTTTTATTTTTATCTCATTCTGCCAGGAGATGCCTTGTAAACACGTTTTCCCCCACTATCATATGTTCTGAGAGAGCTGTGACAATATCTACTGTGGAGATCCCTGTGTTGTTGTAGCCTGTGTCTGTGTTTTGATTCAGACAATAGCTGGGCATACATGGGATTCAGACACTGACCAGAGGAGCACCAAAATAAAGGAAGCTTGCTGTTATGCAGTAAAAACCCCTACCGCTCACAGCAAAGTGAATTTTTGGATTGAAGCAAAAAATCTTTTTTTTGTTTGTTTTTTCACACCCCCAAGAAAAAGGCTTCCTAAATCTTTTTTTAAAGGTAACAGAAGACAAACGTAACCTTTCTTTAAGTCTAAAATTGGAGCCATAAGCACTTGTATTGCCTTTGATAGTCTGCCTGCAGAGAGAGTATTATACTCTGTTTTGTGCTTTAACCTTGATTTGTTCCTCACATCTTCTGTGCTCTCTGCCGTGTGACAACAGTTTAAATCCCCAACCTGCTGGTGGAAACTTTCATCAAAATCATGCGTTGATCCCAACAGACCGGGACATAAAGCAGCAGGAAAACTCGCCTTTGGGATGGATGCTGTCAGCAGCACTATTGTTCCCTCACATTACCTTCACTGAAGGAATAACTCTCTCTTTTTTTCTACTCCTGACATATCCACCAAGTACTTTCACCTACCATGTATGATTGGAAAGCAGAGACAAACAGGTTGTCCTATCCTCCCAGAGGCTGTATTGATTTTCCTGCAGTCTTTGTTCATTTGATTGAGACCCAGCTATGTGAGAGAAAGGTGAACAAAATCTCGAGTGTGCTGGAGAAAATATTGAACTTTGTGAAGTGAGTGAAGCTGCAGACGCCTGGTGGAGAACTGGAGGGGGGGACTGGCAGTTGTCCAGTTTCAGGACAGCCGCCTCATGGGTGGCTCACCACAAAACTGACTCGCTTGGTTAGCACCAAGAACAATGAACCAGTCTGAACTGACGGTGGACCCCATGATTTCTGCAAACAACAGCCATACAGATTTCTTTCCTGACAGGGTGTCCAACCACTCCTGTCCCCTGGGCTGGGGGTCGAAAGAAGGCCTGGAGGCTTGCATCCTGGAGACTGCCGTCATTGTGCTTCTGACAGTGCTCATCATTGCAGGAAACCTGACTGTGATCTTCGTGTTTCACTGTGCTCCTTTGCTGCATCACTACACCACCAGCTATTTCATCCAGACTATGGCCTATGCTGACTTACTGGTTGGTCTTAGTTGCTTAGTGCCAACTTTGTCTCTGCTCCACTACCCAGCAGGTGTCCAGGAACCAATTACATGCCAAGTTTTCAGCTATGTCATTTCWGTTCTGAAGAGCGTGTCGATGGCATGCTTGGCCTGTATCAGCGTGGACCGCTACTTGGCCATAACTAAACCGCTGTCGTACAATCAGCTGGTGACACCGTGCCGACTGCGAGGCTGCATCGCCCTCATCTGGGTCTACTCGAGCCTGGTTTTCTTGCCCTCCTTCTTTGGTTGGGGCAAGCCAGGATATCACGGGGATATATTTGAATGGTGCGCTCAATCGTGGCCCACCTCTGCCCTCTTCACAGGCTTCGTTGTGTGCTTTCTGTACGCGCCCGCTGCGCTTGTGGTCTGCTTTACCTATTATCACATTTTTCGCATTTGCCAGCAGCACAACAGGGAAATCAGTGAACGGCGGGCACGCTTTCCCAGCCAAGAGATGGAGACTGGTGAGGGGAATAACGGTGGGCACCATGGAGGGCATGGGCCAGATAGGCGCTATGCTATGGTGCTCTTTCGAATCACGAGTGTTTTTTATATGCTCTGGCTGCCCTACATAATCTACTTTCTTCTAGAAAGCTCCCATGTTCTCAATAGTCCTGCCCTGTCCTTTATCACCACCTGGTTGGCCATTAGCAACAGCTTTTGCAACTGTGTAATCTACAGCCTGTCAAACAGCGTATTCCGCCTGGGCATGCGCAGACTGTCGCAGACTATGTGCTCCTTTAGCCATTGCGCTGCAGATGAAAGAGACTTAAGAGAGCCCAAACCAAGAAAGAGAGCCAACTCGTGCTCCATCTGAGGGGAAATTGCTTAGAGTGTGGAAAAACAGATCTTAAAGCTTAATGGCTATTTAACTTACCGTTAAACTGGCAGGGCTGAATTTCTTTTTTACCCTTTTGGTGATACCATGTATGTTACCTCATGCGTAAAAAAAGATAATTAAAATGCAAGTTTTCAAGGAGATGGACAGAGTCTAGATGGGCAAATTTAATGATGGCTTTCATTTAGTAGTTCTACGGTTTTTACATTCCAGGGGTTGTTTTCTTCCGCATAAGACTTAGCATTCAGCAGACAGTGCTATAAATTTTTAATTAATACAAATAAGAGTCCAAATGTGACCTTTTCACCTCATGCTTGTCCATCTAAACAAATCTGTTTACCTGTTTCACTGGATTTCTTTATAATTTCCTGTGACTGTCGGTCATAAATGATGTGTGCATTTATTTGTGGCCAACATCCTGTTTAAGGCGGTTCTTAGATGCTTTACGGATGTAAGTATGCAGATTTGACCATTACAATAGCTGCTGGTAAATATCAAACTGTTTTTGGCCATGACTGTTGTTTGGGGAAAGTGAGCAGTTTTTTTCTGCTCTTTTTTTTTAAATTTCCTCCTAAGAAAGTGAAAAACATAGTAATGATGTCAAGTGGTTTGCCACTTTTTCACTTTTGCCAGCCATTGATCTGACTGTTGAATTTGGAGTCTAGTGGTCAGCTTTATAATGGTCTTTAATTTATAAGGATTTTTGTTAGCTCATTCAGTTTCCACTCATTTGGTTGTTTTGAAATCCACCATATATGGTTGATCACCTAATAATTAGTGCACTTTTACTGAAAAGCACCTTGTTTTTAATGAAAAGACCAAGGATTGGGATGTTTTTTCCCAGTATTTTAAACTTAAGTCTTTATATTGAGGGCAGTAGGTTGATGCTCTCAGCAGTTAATCATCACAGTGAATTTAACCTATTTTATCAATTTGATCCCTTAAAATAGTCAAGAATTTGCTGTTTTCATCTGGATTCTCGACTTGCAGTGACTTTTTAAAAATAATTAGCCACCATCAAAAACGTTTTTTAATCTAATAGAGCAAATATTCTGAGTTGCACCTCTTAGATTTTGCCTTTAACCCACAGTTTCAAATTGCTATGAAAATTTATTTTAATAGAAGTGTAAACTTCATGTTTTAAACAGGCTTTGGATGACTTGGTTCTGTTCAAAAAATGGTAGTAGATTTATTTTGCTGCAGCAGTGAATGCAGTCTTAGATTATTGTAATCTGATGTAGTTTGACACTGCTGTGAGGACAAAACCCCACTGATTTGAAAATTTTTACACTTGGCATGTGTTAAAGAGTGCTTTTTTTATTTCTATCTTATTTCATTTTAATCTTTACTACTACTTTTTCTGCTAGTAAATATGACCGGTTACAGCGCTAACCAGAAATCCATTTTGTCCAGATGACTTAATGCCTAATGTTTAGTCTTTCCTGGACAAATCTTTAACCCAGTTTTTTTTTACTGTGCATGTGTCATTTGTGCCAAGTGACAAAGAATAGTTCAGCAGATAACATTTATGTGGGCTTTATATTGGATGTAGGGAATTATTTTTAGTTTGACTAATTCATTTTTTATTTCATTACTGTACCCTCCGAACTAAGTGACTTTCCTAAATTTTGGACCTTTGCTATATAAAGCAGATTCAATAGGTTGTCAAAGGAGTTTAATTGTGATTCTCACCTTTTGCTCAAGATCAGTGGTGTATCTATTCCAGCTCTAATCGTTAGATTCAAGATAAAATATATTTCATTTTGCAGAAAAATAAAAACTTAATATTTTATATAAAAAATATACAGATGTCCCTTTATTCATAGGTTGTTGTTTAGACCTCGCAGGTAGTGTCTGTTCCAAACGGTTTGGTTCAGAACAAGCAAGAATAACAAATCTAGCCCTTTGATATTAAAATAGTTTATTTTTGGTTTTATGCTGCTTAAGTGTACTTTGTGTAAGCTGTCCCTTAATGTAAAACTTTTTTTTTACTTTTTGTAAGCAGGAGGGTTCAGCTTTCTGCTTTTATTTATTTATTTTTTTGTGCGTTGTGTAGAAATCTGTCAATCGCACATTCACGTGAACATGAACTATGTGAACATTTCAGCTGAATCATCTCTCCCCTTTTTGAATGTAATTGCAGTATTGTTTTTAAGCCAAGATTCACAGTAGAAAAATGTCTCTTTTGGGTTATCTACAGATCTACTGCCTTCATGTTAATRATAATCAAGAACAGATTCTGTGTTGCTTTAAAAGTATTGCTTTATGCAGTTTTAATGCACTACAAGTTGCTCTTTGTATGTGCCTAAACATGTGTTTTGTAGGGGAAACATGTTGATGTAATTAGCATTACATAGACATGCTGCATTTTTAAAAAATCTTTCCAGCTGCATAAACATACATTGTCACACTGTACCCTTTAAAGGGACATCAGATTTTCCTTTTAATAATTTTGTGATACCTTCAGTTAGGTCCACTTGAACAAAAAGTTGTTTTAGTCTTGTTTAACAGTAAATATGTTTTCTTCCTTCAAGTGGCTAAGTTGTTGAGGTCTTCATTTATAGTGTAACAAAACATGGCGAATTTGTCCTTGTCTTTCAGTGCCAYGATACCTTTCAATAATAACAAAAGGGAAGCACTGCAAAACCAGTACTTGGTTTATTTAATTTCAGTAGGATGTGTTTTTGGTGCTTCTTTTTAGCATGGTGCAGTGAGGTGGTAGGTAAAATTTATAGCAACTGTGCTGGTCTGTCCTGTATAATCTTGACAATGTGGTAACAAACAACATATAATGATAAAAAGTAACATTTTGTAATAACATAACCTAAACTGGCTCATTTATTCTAATACATTTAGAAGTGAAAATAATGACTTCTCTTATCTTAAACTCCCAGATTGCTGTGATTGGTCGGAAGTTGCACAAATATTCCTTGACTTAGTAGGATATTTTCATCATATTACTGGTGTTTTACAGAAACAATCCCAGAGCCACTTAYTGAATACTTAAAAAAATAGTTTGTGTCTGCATTGCACTAACCATAAAGTGGTAGGAAATTTAAAAAAGTAAAATGTGTCTCGTTAAAAACTCCTCTTGTTTTTAAAGTGCATTGAAACAAACTTTTACCTAAGAGTTTAGAAGATAATAGATGTCTATTTATAAATTATCAAATTGTGAACAGATCTTTAAAGAATATACTGTATATAATACTATATGAAAAGTGTGTGTAAATGTTTGTACTCTGCCGTAACGCCACATCACCCTTCAAAACAAAATAAAATGAAAGGTTAATCCAAGTATTGTACCCATTTGTGTAAATTGACCTGCATAAGCTGCTGATGTTTTGAGTAGAGAGTGAGTTTGTTACACAATATCTATTTTTTTATTTTTAAATTTTGTCAAAGGCTATGGTTTTGCTGTTTGCTGCCAAACCTAATAAATGTAAAAACATAGCTGATGATTCATTCTGTGTTGTCACTTTTTTATATTCCCTTAGTTTCAACAGGTAACCCTTGATCTGTGTTTAATAACCCTCATTGTTTCTGCTGAACACTCATTTAAAGAATAAATGAAACTATGTTGACTTAACTATTACTAGCTTTCAATGTAAAGAATGTTATTAAGTAATAGCTTCTTTATATAAACGTTGGTATGGCGACCATAAGCAATCTTATTCGTGATAAAATACAAAACATGTGCTGTAGTCACTGTAGTACGGCATAAATAATGGCTATTTTTTTAGTTTGAGTTAGGGGTTGTATATTTATAAAGTATTCACTTTGTTTAGTACCTTTTTATTAAGACATCTTTGGACAGCAATGACAACTTCAAACCCTCATAGGAATTTTCTCATAAGCTGTGCACACTTTCCCAGTATACTTTCCAAAATTGTTCATATTCAACCAAGCTGGAAGCTCAAGWGTTTCCCCGAATCTCCTTCCTTCAGGTAGCTGTCTTGATTTCTTTGACCAGTATTGTTGTATAGTGTGACTTTTATTTTATCCTCTATCTTGACTAGCCTTCCTGCCCTTCAGAGGAAACATCCCCACAGCATGATGCTGCCATTACCATGTTTGAGTGGAGAAATGGTAATTGTTTTCACACAAGCAATTGAGAATAGTGACTTGATCATTCAGCTCGTGTTTCTTAGGCGTTTACAATTTCTCTTTTAATTTGAGTGCCAGCTATGTCTCATTGAAATTAGGGTTTTGTCATGTTTTTATTGTTTGGTGGTGAGCTCTCCTCTGGTTGTCTTTGTAAACCAAAACCACTTGATCTCTTTCGTGGTATATATGGACTACTTTAGGGCTGGGCAATCAATAATGATATCTATCATGATAGAAATGTGATCAATATCAATAGAAATGTGTCCGATAGAACGTTGATAATGTCACTAAACTCCAATCCAGAACTGAACGGCATTCTGGGGGATGTAGGCAGAGGAAAGGCTTTAGCAGCTCAACCTCTCTTGGCCCAGCTGAGCAAAGTTGGTGACATCAACTCACTCACTCTTTGGTAAGCAACAACCTGTTGAGTAACAAGGGCAGTTTCACGTTTAACCACCAGTCACTRTGTGAAAGGAGTGAAATGAGAAAGTGAGTTCAGTAGCTTGAGAAGAATTTTTGGATAAGAGGAAAGGTCACGTCACCAGTTTGCAGTGTGTCTGTGGGTTGTAAGAGGTATTAAAAGGTAATAAATTAAATTTGCAAAATTAAGGCCAATTTAAAAGTATTAAAAAGTAATAAATGTCATCTGACGAGGTATTCATTTTTCGAACAACTACCCAACTACAGGTTTTCCCCCAGTCTATCTCCTAATCCCATCCCTATAACAATGACATCACTTTTTGTATTGAGTTAGGGTTCAAAAATATACAATTGTGTGTAGGTCAGTGTTTTTATTGAGGCAAAGAAGTAACTATGCATCCAGTAACTGTAATAATACTACACTCACTAAAAATGTTAGGCAAGAAAATTTATTTATTACTTTATAATTAGTTAGTATTTAGTAATAATAATAAATAATAATAATGTAGTAATTAATTTTTTGATTTTTTTTCAAATTTTATTCATTTCTTAAACAAAATTCTATATACAATAAAAAAAGAAAATAGAATGAAATGAAAGGTAGCAGAGAGAAGAAAAAATATTATAATATCTGCCCCTTTTTTCTCAAGTATAAATTCAAACAATAGTAATTTTCAGTTAACAAAAAAAATCTTCCCAGAACAACAATTTGTATGAATGCACATTATACTATTTCGTATTTTGTCAACAATCCAACCTTTATTATTCTCTTAAACATGTACAGTGATTTGGCACTTTTAACATCAATTTCCAGATCATTCCACAATCTCACTCCTTGGATTGAGGTGCAGCGTTCTTTCAAACATGTTCTAAATTTAGGTTTCATGAACATCTCTGTCCCCTTAAGATTATAACAGCTCTCTCTCTTTGCAAAGATTTTCTGGATGTTTAAAGGTAATGTATTTTTGTGARCCTTTTACATAACTAACAAAATGTTATCAACCAGATTGTAAAATTTCAATAATTTCAGTTATAAAATAATATATTAGCTGGATAATTGTAATGTTTTCGAGTGATGACTCTTGGAGCCCTTTTCTGCAAAACCAAAACACGATTTGTAATTGTCTTACATGCTTTCCTCCATACCTCAACACAATAGACCAAGTGTGGAACAATTAATGTGTTATGTAATTTATACGGAGCTTTATCATTAAACAAATCCCTTACTTTATAAATCAATGCAATAGATTTAGTTATTTTTATTATTAAATAATTTGAGGTTTCCATGTCAGCTTCTCATCAATAATAACACCCAAAAACTTAATCTCACTGACTCTATGAATCTCTACACCATCAACTCTAAATGGACTGTGAACAGTTCTTTGTCTCTTTGTAAATATCATATAATTAGTTTTATCCAAATTTAGTGATAATTTATTAAGTTTAAACAGTTTTGTATATTAACACATTCTGTTTGCTTTTTCTCTAACATCCGTTACATGTCTTTACCCAAACAAAAAATATTGTATCATCTGCAAACAAAACACATTTAAATAATAATTTAGTAATTAGAACTGAAGTTCTAGGTGTTGCCGTTGTGAAGTTGTGTCTGTATTAAATATTGTGACAATATCAAAAAAGAAACTATTAAATTAAACTAAAGAAGTTTTGTAAAAACCCTGGTTTGGCAGTATTAATCATCCTTTTTTTCTCCTGGTCCTTATTTTAAATAGGTAAAACAAAACAAAACAAAAAAACCTAATCAAGTATCGATATGGACTGATATGAAATGTTTATATCGTGATGGGTTTTTCASCCCTGTCGCCCAGCCCCGATGAACTTGGATTTTCTGTCTTTCTAATGTTTAAACCATATTTGGAAGTCTGATGGTGCATTTCAGTGTAGAATTGGGGAAGCCTCTCGAAATGCTGCAGATTGGCAAGACAGCTGAACAACTACTTTTCTCATGGCCAAGACTATATTAGGACTTCCCTTTCATTTCCACAAACTGCAGCACATGCCTAATTTTCTCTTTCTCTTTCCATCCTGCTACTTTCCTCCTTCCGTCTTGATTGAGAAAGAACCATCTGACCCTTTTTTGAGGTGGAGAAGTCATAATTGGAGTGATTCAGTTCCTGTCTCAGAGTGCTAATGGTGGTGCCTTGCAGTGGCCACCAAAAGCCTTTGATGGCATAATGAGGATACTCTCACACCCACACACCAACTCTTATGCATCTTGCATGACTCTTTGAATAAATGATAAGCRGATTGTGGTCTGATAGTGGACAGGTGTGCTTGTTACAGCTTCTAATAGTGTTAACTAATTTTAAAAGAAAGAAGACCAGGGGTGAGGGACAATCATCATCATCACTTAAATATGTTTAATTATACTGTATCAATGAAAAAGTGACTCCTTTTGGAGTTTTTATTTTATTTTAAATATGCAGAATGATTGGCAAGTTTTATTTAGATGCTTTTATAATCATTTGTTGTGTTGAAAGGCAAGTACCATTTATTTATACAATATACCATTAAAATTTATGAACTGAACAGAAATTTACTCCATTTTTAATATATTCACCACTGCTGTAGCGAGTGAAGAATGAACAGCATTCATATTAGCTTTCCAAAATACTACGAAATTAAATAACTGTGTGTGCAATGTATCTGTATGTTTTTTTATAGTGACTGAAGCAAATTATGAAGCTTCAAAAGTGCCTACAGTGTWATCAGTGCATTTGAAGAACCTCTAAACAGAGCACACCATAGGGACATTGCATTAAATTTTTATTAATGGCACCATGTTCCTAATTGCCCTGGTAAAAAAATGTTTATTGCTTCARTCTCCATTGAGAAGCAAAATCTTGTCAAACAGTTCCAGAGCAATAGGTCCAACACCTACCTACCCRCTCATTGGTGAGTGACTTGTATTTGGACCACTGGAAAAGTCTAAAATGTGGAGTCACTTGCCGTCTCCATCAGCTGCTTTTGAGTTCAGTACTTTCATTTCTCCTTTGGCCATGATGATTGCCTTTGGTAGAGACTTCCTATCCATCAGTGGCTACTTAACTAAAGTGAAGGCCTTCTCTTCCATCTCTTCTAAGTGCTTTTACTCTCCAAAATGTGCTCATTGGTTTCACAAGTTGTTCCACAATGGACTCTTATTGAGAGTTTCCGGTGTTTGCTTTTTTTCTACTTTGTACCATCCTTGATTTTTTTTGTCTGGTGTGCACTGACTTTGTGTCTAACAAGAAAACCCTTGACCAGCATAGAACTTCTGTAATATACCATCATCTATCAAAATCTATAACTCTATTTTTTTAGTTTTTCATAGCTTTTTTTGGGACTGTACTTTGTCTGTACATACGTAACATGGAAATCCAACTAGTAGACATCATTTATTTATTTATTCTGCTTGAATTTGAACAAAATCATTTGGCCAGAAAAAAATAGTTTTTTTGGTTAGTATTGGTTGGTCCATCTTTTAAATTTTCCTGCTTGTTTACTTAAAGCAGTAGCATTGAAGTTTTGATTACTGAACTATTAGGGATTCTCAGTTATTGATGAATTCATTTCTTTCTTCAGTCATTAACAATATCTCACTACTGTGCTGGGTACAACTTACAATTGAACTGCAAACTTTTCTCTTTCAAGGTACAAAATAGTTTGTGTTTCAATGCCTTATCCTTGACTGCCTCTGATCAGTACTTGATTACTTTTGGTGTTCCAGTAACATAGCTATATTTCATTTTTATAATTTATTTTGTATT